CCCAAAAACCACAGAGCAGCAGGGTGGAAAGAGCCACATGGCTCTTTTGAATGATTATAAGAGGTAGAAGTGAGGAAAAAGTGCACTCCAGGAATGGAGGTGAGCCACTGCTAATGTATGGAGGTGAGAAATAGGACATCAGATTGGAGGAACGGCTAGTAGTACAATTTGGGCAGAATACAACAACAATGTCAACAACAACAATAATAGCATTGTATAAAGGACTTTAATGTTTACGAAGTAATTTACAAACATTATTTCATTTGTAAGACATCTTTGGAAAGTAGATGCTGTCATTATCTTCATTTTTACAGATGAGGAAACTGAGGCAGGCTGGTTAAGTGACTGACCCAGGGTCACACAGCTAGTAAAGGTCTAAGGCTGGATTCCAGGATTTTAGATATTAGACCTGACTCCAGGTCTAATACTGTATCTACTGCTGCACCTTGCTATAGGGTTTGTGAAGACAAGTAATACGAGGTAAGTCTAGAAAGGCAGGTAGGAGCTAGATTATGGCGCCCCTGAAGCCCAGGATGAGGCCTTGGTAGTTTGACCTTAAGGCAATAAAGAGCCAGTGCTTCTCAGTGAGTTCCACTTATTTTCTGGGCTAAAATGTCCAAATTAGTTACCTATTACATTAGTTACACTAATGCAGGGCAGTGAATAGAGTGCTGGATCTGGAGTCAGGAAGATCTGAGTTCAAAACCAGCCTTAGACCTTTATTAGCTATATGACCCTGGGCAAGTCACTTAGCCTCTGTCTAACTCAATTTCCTCACCTGTAAAAAATGGGTATATCTACCTCTCAGGGTTGTATGGATCAAATGAAATAATATTACTTATAAATTGATTTGTAAGCCTAAGCTGTTGTTCTTCAGTGATTTCATTCATGCCTAACTCTTCATAACCCCATATGGGTTTTCTTGGCAAAGATACTGGAGTGATTTTCCATTTCCTTCTCCAGCTCATTTTACAGATATAGGAAACTGAGGCAAACAGAGTGAAGTGACATGGCCAGGGTCACATAGCTGATAAGTGTCTGAGGCCAGATTAGAACTCGGGAAGATGAGTCTTCCTGACTCCAGGACCTATGCACTGCACCACCTAGGTGCCCTTCTAAGCCTTAGAGTCTTCTAGAAATGCTGTCTGTCATCAACATTATTACATGAACTCAGGACTCCATTCTTGCATTCCCTAGATCCATAGTGACTGTCCAGAGAATAGTCTCGTATTTCTATCAGGCATTGTTTTGTAAAGGCATGACCCTACTCCCCATCAATGACAGTCCATAGGAACAAGCAAATATATGACAGATCACTTCCTTATCTCCAAATGACATCACCAAAAAGAACTATTTTCCTGCAATGGTAAAATCTTTCATTCCAATTAGAATCATATCAAAACTCAATTTATATCTAATTATATTTTGAATTTCATCGGTTCCTCATTAAGCAAAATTGAACCTATAAAGAATTCAGATTGATTGAGCCTAGGATGCCGAATAGAGCCCCAGAAAAAAAGTTATAAATTGCAATTAACATGCACTGCTTTGATAGGGATCACAATCACCACTTACTGTTATACCACCCACTATCTTTTCCTGAAATTCATCATAGTGTCATAGCAGCAGGGTAAATTAATGGAATCTTCCCAGACTCCCAAAGGGAGTTAAGGCAAGCCCACTGTGAGACTAATAACTATTGGACATATCAATAGTCTTGTCAATGAAGGTGTTTACTCCACCAGTGCAGATAAATGACCCACCTATACCTTCTCATCCTATGTGAAGGATCCATGATTTCATCAGAGTAGGAATTAATCCTTTACGCCAGGTTCTCTGACTTTAAATCCAATGTTCTTTCTGTTGGATTACATGGTCTCCAAATATTTTATGTGACTGCTTATCTAAGTCACTATTTTTTTTGACTAGGTAAAACAGGCCATTTTTTGCCTCATTTCTTACCTGACCTTAGTCACTGAATGGGTGTTGCCTCAATCAAACTGAGACCTAAGAAAGACCTTAGCTTAAAAAGGCCGAAGCATTCCACTGCACCCAGGGCTATCTCCAGTTGTCCTGACCTATAACTTGCCACCGGACCCAGATGTCTCCAGAGGAGATAGTGAGGCTGGGAGGCACAGCCCTCCCTCACTTAAATCCAATTCACTTGCAGGTCATGACATCACCTTCCTCATGACATGGACCCCTTCAAGAATGAAGGACAGACAACAGCAACATTGATGATAACATACTGCAGCCTACATACTCCTACCACACATCTCTTTATAGTACTTTGGGTCACTTACCAATCTGGGAATTTTTTATTGATCTCCAGACAGATAAGGGAAAATGGAATGTAGAAATTGATACAGAGAACAAAATACGGAGAAAGTCAATGTTGGAGGGGTTGTGGAAAGACAGGCATACTAATTAGTACTCTTAATGGAGCTATAAATTCTATTCATTTTGGAAAGTAATTCGGAATTATACTAAGAAAATGACAAAAAAATGTCTATACCACTTAACAGAAACATCCCACTGCTTGACATATACCCTAAGGAGGTCAATGTCAAAAAGAATGTCTTCATATGGACCAAAATATTCACAGCAACACTTTGTGTGGTTGAAAAGAACAAGAAGTAAAGTCCATGTCCATCACTTGGAGAATGGTTAAACAAACTGTGGTACATAAATACAATGTAATGAAAATATGATAAGCATAGAAAGAGATGAAAAAAGTTATATGAACTAATGCAAAGTCAAGTAAGCAAAACCAGGAAAACAATATATACAATGACTACAATAATGTAAATGGAAATGATGGCAGCAACAAAAACAATTGAAACTGAATGCTTTGAAATTATAATGATGGGGCTTGGCCCCAAAGAGGAGGCATGAGAAGCTCCTTCCTGTCCCCCCTCCACACTTTATTGATTGATTGATTGATTGATTTAGCAGAGGTGGGAGACTATGAATGTAGAAGACTACATATGAATTCAAACCTCTCTGTCTCTGGAAATATTCATTAGTTTTACTGACATGCTTTCCCCCTATTTTATTCTTTGTTATAAAAATAAAAGAAAAATGTATATATTTTACATTTGTTTTATTTATTCATTTTATGTCTATATAAATATATATTTATTTTCATTATACTTGTTCTCTCTGAGAGAGAAGGGAGCAAAAAATATATTGGGAAATGTAGCTCATGTGAAAACAAAAATATCAACACAATTTTTAAAAATGTAATATAAATTTATATTTATATTTAATATAAATATAAATATAAATTTATAAATGCTAGGAAAAATGAAGCACGGGTCATCTCTGGGTTGCAACTGGATGGTCTGACCTTGTGGGGAGAGGAGAGATACTGTCATAAACAATATCCCCAGTCAAAATTAGTAATAATAAAAAAGCTATTGCAAGCAAGTATGGGAGCCATCAGAGGGCAGAAGCAATTCCCCCAAAACCTGCCTGAGATTTTGTCTCAGGTCACAATGTAAGTATGTCCTCTACCAAAATAGCTTCAAGATCTGGTTAAGGAGGGGAAGAAAAAAAAAAAAGCACAACTAGGAAAAGCATTTCACTGTAAAGGCCACAGCCCTTTGAATGGCAAGGAAACTGGCTGCAGAAAACATTCAGCACTGAGTAAAGAATCTTCCTTTTGATTCCTCAGCATCGACCTAGAAAATGCAGCTTTCCATGCATTGACATCACACATCTGTCCGGTGTGCTCTGGACCTTTGACAAGCGTGTTCTGTGAGGGTGAAGTAACACACAAAGAAGGCACACCACCCTGGTGGGCAGAGTCTGGTTGGAAGCTCCAGTGACTCACCCGAGATTATTCGAAGATCAGTGGTGGGAGATGTGGCTTGCATCTATGCCTGAACTTTGTCTGAGATGGCCACAGAGGCAGAAGCAAGAATGTCTTGATCCTGAATCAGGGCTGCCAGCTTTGGCATGTCAGCTATTTTTTAGTGTAGAGAAGAGAGAAAGCTGCTGGCTGCTGCTAAATATTCTTAGACATGACTGGTGCTGACCAGGGTGCAGGGCCAGGCTCCCAGAGGTCATCTTCTGCCCCCTGCCTTCAGGTGGGACTGTACCTAGAACGTTTCAGGATTATTTCTGAAATGAAATCAGGGGAGCGCCCAAATCTCAAATACTACTCTTAGTCAATCAAGCTTTCATGAAGTACTTTCTATGGGCCAGGCACTGCGCTAAACTCTGGGGGCACAAAGACAAAAATGATTATGGAAAAACCAGTAAGTTAATGCTGCAAAGGACATGAAAGACCATCTGGTCATCTACTTATCAATCTAAGGTAAGACCATCTAGGTCAAGGGTGGAGAACCTGAGGCCTCGAGGCCACATGTGGCCCTCTAGGTCCTCAAGTGCCACCCTTGGGCTGAATCCAAACTTCACAGAACAAAACCCTTAATAAAAGGATTTGTTCTGTAACATTTTCTCATATCAAGCCTCAATTTCCCTCTCTGTGACTTCCAGATTTTACTCCTAGTACTGCTCTTTGGGGCCAAAGAGAATAAGTTTGATCCTATATGACATTTCTAGGAATCTAAAGATTTAGAAATGAGACAAAGTAGTACAACTCTCCCATTTTGCAGAAGACAGAATGGAAGTCCATTGAGGATACATGACTTGTCCAAGGTCACAGAAGTAGGGTTACAGGCAATATTTGAACCCAAGTTCCCTGAATCCAAAATCAGTAGTTATTCCCTCCCCCCATTGTATTCTCTTCTACAAAATGAAAATCCTCATTTTATTTAACTAATCCCTACACATTCTCAGGGATCCTCACCCTCTTCTTAACTCTGACAATCTGATTATAGGCTGGGTTTAAGTGATGGAGTGGGAAACTCCAACCCCGACCCATACCCATTGTCTCCCAGACTACTAGCCTGCCAGACTACCTGGAGCAGCTTTCTTCTCCCAGTGCTACTCGATCTGGAAACTGAAGTAGAAGCAATGAAGGATAATATATCTACTGCAACAAAAAGGTCTTTATTGGAATGTCAGAGGGTCATTAGACAGTAGCTGGTTCCATATTCCTCACTTTCAATGAGAACACAGTTCTTTCAGCCAACGATGCTTGGAAGGAATTCTGTTCTACTCCAGATTTGTATTGGTGGAGAAAGCCTTCATGTCTGAACTTACACGCCTGCCTTCTGTTCATGGCGTCGCATCCGGATAGTGGTGGCATCTGTGAGCTGGCAATTAAGATTACCAAGCCACTGATAGCATGTGGACCCATAATATAGTTGAAATGACAACAGATGGTGGAATTGTCAGTCTATGATGCCCCTCAAAATGATCCTTTTCTGCAAACAAAAGAGCAGCAGGGTAAGATGCCAGAAGAGGAAAATTATGGGATACCCACTTGTAGGTGAGTGCCAAGCATGTGGCTCAGTACACAGCTATTCTCATGTCCAAGACAATCTACCACAACCAGTAGTGTGGGACTATAGAGAGGGGGCTTTGGAGTCTAGAGGATCTGGGTTCAAACCAAGCTCTGTCATATAGATGTTGAGTGATCTTGGAAAGCTGGTTTACTACACAGGCCTCAGTTTCTTCCTGTATAAAATGAAGAGGGTGGCTCTAGATTTAAGATTCTGGATAGCATCCCAATGGCACCAGGAGGAAACAAGGAAGGCCTTCAACATGTTGGGAAGACCCTCACCCCAGTTTGGGGAAGATATGGAGGAGAGTTATGCAGGAGGGGTAAGTATGAATAGACCATGATCTTTATCTTTGGAGGGAACTCCCAAGTCCATAAGATGTGAGTGTGTGTATGTGTGTGCATACACCAGGTCTGCACAACATATGACCTGCAGGGGCCCACCAAAGCAGCCCTCGGGCTGTAATTTATACACATGTATGTATATACATGCATGCACATATAACTTATATACATATGTGTATATATATAACTGTGTGTATACACACACACACACACACACACACACATATATATATATATATATATATATATATATACACACACTAAAATAGTTGACCTTCAAGGTCCTCTCCAGTTCTCAATCTATGATCCGATTACCAATGTTTATATGATTATATATATATATATGCATATATATATATGCATATATATGCAGTCATAAATAGTATGAATAATTGAGTATGTTATAATCCACTATTGTGCACCATTATAATATTATATAATATACTATTATATTATATAGTATTATGATGTAGACTACATTGAAATAATATTTTATCTATGATCACATGATATATGAATGATCCAGTATTATACAGGCAGCTAGATAGCATAACGAATAGAAAATGCTGGGCCTGGAGTCATGAAGACTCATTTTCCTGAGTTCAAATCTGACCTCAGACACTTCCTAGCTGTGTGACTCTGGGCAAGTCACTTCACCCTGTTTGCCTCAGTTTCCTCATCTGTAAGCTGGAGAAGGAAATGGCAAACCACTCTAGTATCTTTGCCAAGAAAACTCCAAATGGGATTATGAAGGGCTAGACACAATTGAATAATAACATAGTACGTATATTATGATATATAATACAATATAACAACATATAATACAATACAATATATACAATATAACAATAATAACAATATAACCATTAGGTTAGAACAGAATATAATATACAATATACTAAGTTAATAACAGAATATATATTATATTCAACTATTTATGTATACATATATGTACACTGTTATTTTTATATGTATACATACAAGATGTCCCAAACATTTTAATAATTTAAATCTGCCCTAAGTTTTAGAATACATATACATAACAACATGTGTGTGTGAGTGAGAGAGAGAGAGAGAGAGAGAGAGAGAGAGAGAGAGAGAGAGAGAGATCATAGACTTGGATCATAGAAGAGACCTTAAAGGACATTAATTTCAATTTCTTCATTTTACAAATGAGTAAACTGAGGATAAAGAGGTGTGGTGACTTGCTTAGGGTCACAAAGTTAGTAAGTATCAGAGGTAGGATTTTAACTCAAGTTTTCTTGACCCTATGCCCAATATTTTTTGCTATTTTATCACAAGAATTTACAAATCAAAGACTAAACTGATCACTTTAAATTCATACTGTATTAGGGGCAGCTATGTGGCACAGTGGATGGAGCACCGGCCCTGAAGTCAGGAGGACCTGAGTTCAAATTTGACCTCAGACCAAACACTTGACACTTACTAGCTGTGTGACCCTGGGCAAGTCACTTAACCCCAATTGCCTAAAAGCCAAAAAAAAAAATTCATACTGTATTTCAATTTTGCCAGGTGCAGATTTTTGGTCTGAGAAGTCAGAGAGAGTAAAACAGGAAAATATATAATAGCCAATGGTGGTTGTAGCATCATAAAGGGAATCCAGCCCGTGATCCAAATGGAAAAAAAATGTCCTGTCCCATACATAGTGAGGTCCTCCAAATACTGTATGAATTACTTTATGTTGACTGCATCAAGCCCCAGAGCACTGCATTCATAACTGCTTAGTGAATTGTTCGATTGTCGATATTTAAAATGATAGAATCATAGCATTTTAGAGGTGGAAGTGGCCTAGGGTTCATTCCCAAGTAAGATCCTTAGTCACTCAAAAGAATTCATTGTAAGTATCCACACAGGAAACACCAAGTGGATGAAGAATGTCTTTTGCCCAGGCTAAGATATGTTGTTAAATGAACAACTGATAGAGCTTGTCCAGCAGCACATAGATCTTTACCAGACACTGCAGCTCACCCAGGAGTTGGGTACAAAACTGAACACAAGCTGATTGGGCTCCATTGCCTTCACAAAATTGCAGAGTTCATTTAATGGCCTCAAGTTTTTTTCCTGGAAAGACTCATATTTTAAAAAGAGGGGTTATCATCTCTGAGAGGAGTGTGTAAGACATGGAAGCAATACATGGCACCTGGAGTGAGAGGAACAAGAGAAGGCAATGGTAGCTCCTCGCTCAGGTTAAGGTGGAGTCTTATTTGAATACATAAAAATGGCTTTTTAAGAACTCCCTTCTTTCTTAGATTGAGAGCCAGCATCCACACAGAAAGCAATAAACATAGCAAGAAAAACATACCTTTGAACATGAGGCCAGCTGTCTCATGGATCTCAGAATGGATCTCCAATTCTGTCTCATAGATCACCAAAGACCAATGCTATTTTTCCTAGTAATGTTGCCTATTGTCAGGGTCCTGTGACCTTTGACTGTCAAAATCTCCTGATTTCTGATGCCAGTATATTCTGAAAGAGCAAAGATTCTCTCAAGGTTGCAACTTTCTCTGGCTGACCTTGTGATTGATTCATAACGATCAAATTCTCATTGTTCTCTGGACCCAAGACCTCAAGAAGCTCTGCTCCCCAACTTGGTCCACAAGACCCTTTGAGGAGAACTCACTGGTAAATGAAAACATTCTGATAAACACAAGGGCAAAATCATCCAGAAACACTCACCTCATGGGGCCTTACTGTGTCAAAATCCTGCCTGTCTACTCTCTGTCTCCTCCAAACACTACAGAATTCTGCACAAAAGATATGTGAGCTACTTTCTAAGCACTCACTGTGGATTTCCTTTTTTTTTTTCTATTTACATTTGCTGACTAAACAGAAGACTTATTTAATGGTTAGGCTCCACCCTTATAGTCCGGAAAAACCTTGCCTCCCAAACATACTGTCACCCTGAGCATGTTACCTAATCTCTCATTGCCTCAGACAGCTCGCTAAATTAGGGTCAAGTTGTTGATTTGTATCAATTGAAGGAATCTCTATGACACAAGTTCCCTTTAGAGATAAAATCATAGATCTGGACATAAAAAATAAAAACAAGAAATCCCAGCATGGGAGGGAAACTAATGAACTCTTCAGGGCAGTTGGCCTTGATGGCCAGTGGATATTCCACTGTCATGCCTTCTGAAGCCTGGCTCATTTCCTGTTTAGAAGACAATAAGAGTGAACCAAAAAGCCACACTGGTTCATTGAGACTCAACACACTGGGATGAGTGGAAATCTTCTTACTAGGCAGGAGCTGCAGAGCCTGAAATTCAGGAAGTCAGCACTGAAGGAATATGAGGGAGTCAACCGTCTGATTGAAACAACTTGATTCCATTCAGCGTCAATCTTTATATTTTGTTTACTTTGGTTTTCATGAAGCCCAGATTGTGACCAGCCCATGTTGTCCTAGGTGCGGTCCACCATGCCAGCTAGAGACTCAGCCGCCCCCATCAGACTTTGCTCTCTCTGCCCTTCGGCACCGCCCAGCAGTTCATATGTTCCCAAACATAGTAACCCTATCTCAACCACTACTCCCCACCCCCGGTCACCCCGCCCCCCATGAAGGACGGACTTAACCAGTGAGCTAGTCTCCAAATAATTAAGAAGGAAGTTGGGAAGAAAACAAGCCCTGGGGAATCGAGCCTTGGCTTGGATTAAAATCCAAAATTTTTCCCTGTAGAAACATATCTTGGTCGCATATAAATGGAAGACAATTGGAAAACATCATTTATGACATAGGATTCCTTTCTTTTTGAGGCAGCATTCCCTCTCTGTGTTGCGAGTTGATGTTGCATCGCTGCATTTGTACTGTAATACATTGGATTCTTTCTTAGAGAACACAGATTTTCTGCCACTAACTAGCTGGTTGAACACGGACTCTGCATCTCAGTTTCCCTAAGTATAAAATGAAGGGATACTAGAGGATTCCTAAGATCACTTCTATATTTAATTTAAAATGAGCAGATAGGTGGTACAGTAGCTAGAACACTGGGCCTAGAGCTCGGAAGACCTGAGTTTAAATCTGGCTTCAGACACTTACTAGCTGTGTGACCCTGGGTAAATCACTTAATCCTGTTTGCCTCAGTTCCTCAAATGTGAAATGAGTTGGAGAAGGAAATAGCAAACCACTGTAGTATCTTTGCCAAGAAAACCCCAAACAGGGTCATGAAGAGTTGGACACGACTGAAAAAGGCTGAACACCAACACGTAATTTACAATATACTAATATAAAAAGGAAGCCTTCAAACAAGAAAGCTGTGTCATTAATCTGACTCACGGTTGCTGTTTATCTTCTTGCTCTTGTGTTAAGATAAACTACAGACAGCATTGATGCTAATTCCTTTGGGGAAAGCAATTTACTAAGTGGTTTCCTGGTGCCCCCCGGGGAGTTTGGTTATCTCATGTAAGTGAGCACTTTACTCCAAGACTCATTCTTATTCATCACGGCCATAATAACTCACATTAGAATCATGCTCTGAGGTGACAACCAGTCTGCGAAGTAAGTAGTGCAGGTATTATTACCCTCATTTGACAGTGGAAATACAGCCTCAGAAAGGTCAAGTCACTTGCCCAGGGCCACACAGCCATAAAGTGGCCCACTGATATACATCTCCCTGCATTCTAAGGCTGTTAAAAGAAAGGGTCATTGGTCCCACCAATAATTTTAGTATGGAATCCTTAACTGTTGGCTTTGGGGAACAATTTACTATGTTGGAACAAATATTAGATTTAAGGTCAGACTACCTGAGTTTGCGTCTCGTTGTCGCTATGTATTCCCCCTAGACTTTAGTAGATGGTCTTTGCTTTAGAGTTTAGTAAGTCACTAGTTATAAACAAGAACCGAGACGAAACCCATTTGTGGAATTCTCTGCTGTCGAATTATCCATTGTGGCCAATTCCATGGCTCCAACACTCAGTGAACACAGTATGGTTGTCATCGGCTGTGGGCCAGGAGGTAAAAATACTTCTCTGGAGTGAACTTTTTGTTTCAACAGAATTCATTATAACAGGATGTGACCTGGATCACTTTATCAGAGGGTTGTAATGGATATTGATTCATAGTTGTACTCATTTGAATACCAAACAGAATTCCATGTAGGGTGTATTACAGGGATCCATTCATTTTGTTTTATGGATTTGTTTTGCTATGTAAAGTGTAATTGTATTTTATAGTTGCTGTAATATGCACAAATTAAAGACCTCATTTGACTAAACAAGAATTGGCTTATAAATTATGAAGCATCCTTTTCCACTAAGAACCTGAGTAATTAGAACAAAATCTTAGCAAATGCTCTCCTTATAGGCTCTATTATTTGGGGGAGGATCTTTTCCCCCCTACCACCTTTTAACTTTTTCAGCACTGAAACCATGGTAACAAGTTTAGGGATTTCCAGAAAGCGACTATTTGAATTTTGCCGAGGTCCATTAAGCTGTCCTTTGCCATGATTTTGCATTCCAAATTTCTGAGTGAGTTGCCATGTTTTAAAGCATTTTTGAAAACTGGCTCTATTGTTTCCTGCCCATGCAACCTTAAGCAAGTCACTTTGCCTCAGTTTGCTCACCTGTAAAATGAAAGGTTTGAAATAGATGATTTCAAAAGTCTTTTGCAATGCTAATGATTTATGACTTGCTGTTTACTTCTCTGAGACCAGAAAATTTCTCTTACAGGTAAAAAGGTAGATGTCAGCAGTGTTTAGATAATTTAATTAGGATAACTTATGTTAAAGCAAGTATGAAGGAAAGTAAATGGCTTTTTTAAGGAAAAAAAAATGACCATTGAGTTGTTTGAGGGGGATGACAAGAAATACGGGGGCATAATTTATTTCAACTTCCAAATACCCACAGATACACCAAAAATTAATTTTATACATAGGTTAATACGAAATTGGGATGACAGTTTTGTTACAAATGAAAGACCAGGAGAGAGAGAGAGAGAGAGAGAGAGAGGCTGGACAGCGCAGGAGGTTAGAGAACTGGGCTGGGAGCTGGGACACCTATCTTCAAATCCTGTTGGAATGTAAGCTTCTTAAGAGCAGAGGGCATTAAATTGTTTATCTTTATATCTCTAGCGCCCAACACGGTACTTGACAAGCTGTAGGCACTACCTAAATGCTCGTTAATTCATTGATTAATCTGAAACTCTTACTAGCTGTGGGAACAGGCAAATCACTTTCAATAATACTCTCTTTTCCTGGTTTCCTGAGCTACTCTCATCATCTTGATTTATTTCCTATATAACTCACTGGTGGGTCTGAGGCCTGTTGGGTGTTTGGGGAGGACCAGCACCTTGGGTGTGAGGGCTAAGCAAACTGTTAATGTCACGGATCCTCTTTGAAATGAAAGACAAACAACAACAGATAGCACACTTATCATTATGTGTGTGAGTGATGTTTCTTCCAATAGAATGTAAACTTCTTGAGGGCAGGGACTCTCTCATTTTTGTCTCTGTCTCCCCAGTGCCTGGTACACAGAAGGCACTTAATAAATCTTGTAGATTGATTGATTATTAGTGAGGGTCCTGTCCAGCTAGAAATCTAGGATAGTAAGAACTAGAGAAGTGTGTGTGTGTGTGTGTGTGTGCCCCACCACAAAAGGTACCACAGGCCCTCTTCTGGGCTGAAACAAGAGCCCTTCAGGGGTTGATGATAAGAGACTACTTTCATTTGGTACTTAAATAACTGATCAGGAAGCAGAGGTGAACAGTGAAATCCTCCACTCTGCATGTGACATTCGATTCTTCCAGGAAGTGAGATGACAAACAGGGGCAAACTGCGCAGAAGACCCCATGAGGCTCGGAGTGGGCAGAACAGTGGCAGGAGCAAGTCAATGAGAGTATGCAGAAGATAATATATTTAAGGGAAAACAGTGCCAAACACAGGGGAAAGATCCACAGCCCTAAGCTGCCAGCAGCAATTCAGGAAAGAAACTGAGGCTCCTTCATCATACTCCCGAAACAGGGGCCCACAGTGCTGCAATAGCCCAGAAGACTAATCTATCATTGGCCATCATCTGCAAAGGTCAGGAAACAAAGGAGAAAATATTTTCTTCCCTTAGAGCCAACTGATGGCACACAGACCAGTGCAATGCCTCCTGAAGCTCTGGGCCCCTGACCTGAAAAGAAATACAACCTAGGAAGGAAAAGGTGGGGACTGGGACTGTGGATTTAAGGCCTGAGAGGTACCCTTCCTCCCTGTGTTGCCTCAGGCAGGTCTTCAACTCTGTGCCTCAGTTTCCTTATCTGTAAAATAAAAGACTAGATAACTAAAGTGCCCTCCCAGCTCTTGACCTGGGATCCTCCATCCTCTGAGGGTCCTTCAGGCTCAAATCTACTATTTTGTTTTCCTAGGATCATCTAGGGTGTCTCTCATTTTGTAAACTGGGAAGAGGATACTCAGAAAAGTTAAGAGATTTGCCCAAGGTCACTGAGCTATAGAGCAGCAGAGCAATGCCAGAGCTTTTTACTCTTTACATCAGATGACCAATAAGCATTTATGGAGCACCTACTTATGTAGAAGACATTGTGCTAGGTGCTGGAGATACAAGGACAAAAATGAAATAGTCCCT